CGAGGAAATATCTTTCCAGCAATGGCAGAGTACTGATAGTACAAAACTTATAAGCCAGACTCTAGATTTAGAAAGTTTCATTGACCATGTAGTAAAAACCATTGATAGATTGACTTCACATTCATATCTGGCAAAATGTCAAGCAAGGTATTTGAAGATTCGCAAAGAACAAATTGGAGAGGATACAGCTATTGTATTAGGTGATTTTGCAGAGAACTACAGTTTTGTGGTGCAAGATGAGGTCCAGTCTTACCACTGGAGCAAACCATGCTGTACCTTGCACCCACTTGTTTTATATTTCAAAGAAGATGAGACACTGATGCAGAACTCCTTCTGTATTTTATCAGATGATCTGGAACATGACACCAGCTTGGTATATCAGATTCAAAAAGAATTAACACAGGTCATCAAAACTAAATTGCCAAAAATATGCAAACTAGAATATTTTTCTGATGGTTGTCCTTCCTAATACAAGAACTACAAAAATTTCTTGAACTTGACACTCCATCAGCAAGATTTTGGGTTATCTGCAAACTGGACATTCTTTGCATCAAGCCATGGCAAGTCTCCCTGCGATGGCATCGGAGGAGCAGTTAAGAGACTGACAGCTAGGGCAAGTTTACAAAGACCAATTTCACAACAGATTTTAACTGCAAAGGATATGTTTCTCTTTTGCAGTGAAAATATAAATAACATCAGTTTCATTTTTATAACAAAAGAGGAAATGATGTCAGTCAGATAGGGCTTGGAAGACCGTTTTGCCTTGGGATCAACAGTACCAGGAACAAGAAGCTTCCATTACTTTGAACCAATTGGTCCCTATGAGATTGCTTACAAGCGTACATCAGAAGATGACAGTTTTTCAGGAACCCACAATTTCAAAGGAGAAATATACAAAGCTCTAACCTTAAAGGATGTTCAAGAGAATGATTTTGTGGCATGCGTTTATGATAACAAGTGGTGGATTGGCATGGTTGAAGTGATAAACAAAGAAGAAAGAGATGCAAAAGTAAACTTGTTTCATCCCTCAGGCCCAGCACAGACCTTTGTATGGCCAGCTAGAGCTGATGTTTGTTGCATTCCAGAAAATGATTTCTTGGTGAAGATTGATGCTCCAGTAACAGCAACTGGAAGGACATACAGCATAAAACATGCTGATTTAAACAACATTAACAAAACATTCCAGAAGTTTTTTAACATAAGAAATGGTATCTTGAAGTAAATGAGTAATAGTTTTCATCTTAGGCATCTACTTCTATATGTTTTTTAAAAGAAATACTATATGTTTTGACAAATATTTTGCCAGCCATTTGGCATACAGAATGGTTGTGAGGCAAGTTTCGCAAATTTTATTACTCTTATATAACTCAAATAATCTCAGTAATGCTGAATATACAAATGATAATATTTATATGGTTAAAAAGCCCAATTCAAGAGCTTTCAGCTGGTACTATTTTCAATTCTTAAAAATTTTGCAGACTTTGCAAAAAATGACATTCAAATTGGCTAGTCACAAAATCTAAGAAGTCTAATATAAACTTTTAACCTATTTTTTCAGTAACTAGCTTTGCTTTGTTGATGTTTTGGTGGTCATATTTGAAATCTGCACTATCAGAATGTACTGTGTTGATAATTTGATGTAAATATTGTGATAAAAAAAACTTTCACAGGACTTTGAATGTTATTATTTATCGCTGGCACAAATTTTGGGCGGACCACGCCCTAAAATGAGACAACTTTTGACTGGCCGTATCTCCGGAACGCCTTAACCTATTGTGCTGAAATTTTGGGTGAGGTGGTTTCCCCTGGGACTGAATCAATATTGTAAAATTCATCGAAATCTGAGAGGGTGGGTGACAATTCATGACTTTTATATAAAATTTGACATGGAATGACCCGTAAGCTTCCTTGCTGATGCCTAAGTTAGCCGATGTTTAGCAACATTGGTGCAAAAACCCCTTCTGTTATTTTGATCGCACTACACTACAGAGGTGATGATTTATTCAAGCTGGGGGCTTATTAAGATTTTTATTTACAGGTTTGATTTTTATTTGAGGGGGTTCATACAAAGGGGGCAGACTTTGAGATTCTGGGTATGACAAGTAATATGCTTGTAAACTCAAATTACACTCATGATGAAAATTGACAAAGACCGCAGGTTGTTGTTGTTTGAATCAGACAAGGTCTGCCTCTACTTCTGTGCCAGAAGCTTACTTGATTCTTACCCTGCCTCTTCTACTGTTTTTGTTGGATTGAAGTCAAACATTGTTTTCCCCGAACATTCTATACTGCATATCATCAAAGGCATCATCACAGCACTTGCTTGTGCATTCTGCATAGTCTCTGTAGAGTGTTACTGATACTAGTACAAAAATGACCAGACATGGAGCAAAGAGAATCCAAAAAAACCCAACAAGAAAAACAGTGATACCTGTCAGGGCAACCAGGGCAGCTACTTCAAAAACTCCTACGCATATCTGCCAAGCAGCCATTCCTGTGAGTGTTCCAACTACAGTTGGCTTCAAAGTGCTGGCATTAGCAATTGATTTTTGATCTACAAACACATCATCTTGTACTGAGGAACTGGCAATGGAGCTCCTATGCTCTCGGAATGAATAGAACTCATCTCCATCCGGAAGCTGACTCCTGTTGCTCCCATATTGTGGGGCACTTTGCTCAATTCTTCTCGTTTTAATAACAGGTTTTCGAAACCAAATTAACTGGAGAAGTAAACATACTTGATTCAAAATTCTCATTATTATTGAAAGAATTTTATCAATAAAACCAGGCAATTTTATAAGTGTAAAGAAATTAGCAAATGGCTACAAGCCCAAAACCATTATTTGGCCCATTTTCACTATTGTAGATATTTCAGTTTTAATTTGTTTGCAAAAAGATACAAATTGAGTTATTTTATTTTTGTCTAGCTATTATCTACAAGCAGAGATATGTAATTTCTATCACAATCACAAGGCTTTGACAAAGAAAATCTCACTCTAAAGCGAATTATGTTTGCAAATAAGTAATGCACACATACACGACAAAATTTTATACCAAATGTTTATACATAATCTTAACCTTTTATTGAATTTTTCCCAATTTTTTTCTTTTTCATACACGTCAGGCCTTGACCTGAAAGGCGCTCGATAGAGCCTGAACGCCTAAATTGCACCTGTATATAGCCATGGAGAGCAATTTAGTGAGACCTGAAAATCTGTAACAATATTGCACTGAAGCAAGATATTGTTTGAAAATAATGTTAATAAAGCATCAACAATCTTCTCAAATGACCAAAATAATTTGGTTTATAACATTTTTACAAAAGTTTATACCACTAATCATTTGATGACTAGATTTTATATCCAGTTCCTCATAAGGCCACATCCACAGGAATACCTTTTTGAGTAGAAAAAGTTACTTTCCATGCATTGTAAATACAATTGTATGAAAACAGTTGTATGACATTTCAAAATGCATCATTTCCATTTGGACCATATCGTTTGGCTTGTTTTCATTAAGAAGAAAATGCAAATTTTTGCAAACAGCAATTTTACACAGGAGTGTGAAATAGAGCACCTTGAGTTTCTTAGGAGCTCGTTTTATAGAGCTCCTTCATTTTGCTTTATGCAAGGCCTGATACACGTCTTACATTTGTATATTTTAACATCAGCTGCTTCAGAAGTTTTATTGGAAATTAAAAATTTAACACGATTAAAAATTTAAAAGCTACCTAACAGTAAATTAACTTAAGCAAAATCATACCTTGAAAAAATTGAAAATAACATAAGTCTGTAAAGTTTTAAAACTTCAGATTGATTCTAAATGCTGTGCAAGCTCCTGTAATATTCTTTTTGGATCAACCTTTTAGGTACTTTCAATGTAATAGGGTGAAAAAGATGATATCATAAAAATCTAAATTTTAGAATATCTTTAATTTTGACCACTTTAGCAGAAGAATGCAGTGAAATATTTCTGAATGTGCAAAATCAGTGAAATTGCTACATATTTTCTGAGATATGGCCAGTGAAAGATTTCACACTTGCCAAAATACTGTAATTTTTGCTTTGCTCATAGCTTTTAGAACTAAGTTGAAATTGATGGGAAGTAAACTTGTACACATGTGACCATATCTCAGGAGATTTGTAACAGGTCTAGCTAATTTATCACAGCTAGAAGTATTTATTGGTGTCCTTTCAGGTTCTACGTTCAAAATCCAAAAATTCTACATATACTTTGGTGCTTGTAATGTTAAAACCTTGCCACTCTGTAGGCAGCATTATGACTAGAAAGCTTACATAGCAAATTAATACCTATTGGGATAATGTTTGTCATGATTTAATCATGCTTCAAGAGTTAGTGTGCCCAGACCTGGCGTTTGAAATCTAAAACTTCTATAAAAAGATTTTTGTAACATGGTAAGCAGCAATTTATCATTTAGCAACAAACCTGCAAACAGTTGATGTGACCAATGAATGCTCCAATGAAAACCATGCTTTTAAATTTGGTGGATGTCTCAAAAATATACACAGGCACAAACTGAAATGACCAACCTACAGCTGTCAAAACTACTGATATGTTTGACTGCCCAAGTGTGCTTCTTTCAAATATATTACGAATTACCTGAAAAACAAATTTAATTTGTTTATATATGTTTTGGGAATTTAACCTCAAGCACCAATTTTCAAATTTAATCGACTTAGAGTACATAACCGGATTGTTCTAGGTTGCTACTCGAAGTTTCATGCTTAATGTCAGGCAACTTTGGTGTAATGAGCAGGATGATTCTTAGTTGTTACTTGGATCATCAGGCAAATGATTGTGTGAAACTCAGACTAGCAACTTAGAACTGTCTTGTTCTTTACAACAAATAGCATGTACAGCTCATCTTATATGGCATTGAGCACTTTATGACAGACCAGTAAACAGTAATTTTCATTCTTAATTTTATATGTTGATAAATATTGAAAACATAAAACTCATAAACTCACATATTTCTATAAATATTATGCAAATATTTTTTGATAACGTCTAAATAAACTGGAGAAATGTGACTAGTTAAATGAACTCTTGTAGTGCCTCATTACTCATCACAGGCCATACAGAGGGAAAAAATATTCTTATTTGTTTATTTTTCTTATTCTGTTGTAGACAATTTTAATTTACTGCTTCTTCTTTACAAGGCAGTCAGCTTCATTGGAAGCATTTGCCTTGCTGAAGGACATCAGAACAATAGGGGCATTGGGGACACATTTCACCCCAAACATTTGAAGAATAGCTCTTTTTTCTTTACAGAGTCGTCCTAAGAACTTTATATCCCCTTTTCTGAAGTAATAATAGACCCTTTCCCACCTCCATATAGCTAAAATCTTGGCAAAATGACATCATTTTGTCATACAGGGGATTTCATGTCAATTTGAGGCTTGCTTCCACAGGCTTGACCATATCTTTTAACAGGGGAGGAGTTAAAAGCTCTCCTAGTAATTTCCAGGTGAGATTTTTGAAGATAACAAAAAGGAAAAATTGATAACAAGGAGAGCAATTATCTTTTTAGACCAGTTTAAGAGAGCAAAATGTGGCTCTATTCCAGCATTTGAGCAGACCCTGGAGGGAAGCAAGAGCTATGCCTCTCCTCAATGTTAAGGCCTGCTTTCACCAAAAAACATAAAAAGGGTAATTTTCCATTTTACCAAGTTGTAAAGCAAGTTAAATCATCTAAATGACTCAATATAATTCAGGTTGGAGAATATATATGATTTTGATTACTTATACTTATACAATTTTTGCATAGGCTCATATCCGGTATCAAAATCCTACAGGGACCACACGGGTAAAAAAGGGGGCTGAGGGGCAATTTTTTAAATTCAAGCCAAAGACTATAAGCTGCAATTGCCAGCTAAGGCATTTGAGCTGAGCAATGTTGTTGAGCTGGTTAAGACATCCGTGCATGTGCTAGTTATCTAGCCTGAGGTATAAAGGAGAACCCATGAGTTCTAGAGAATCATTAATGCCTGGTTAGAAAAAATGATAATTACCTGTGGCAAAAGTCCTACGGAGAACAATATAATTGCAATCCATTCCATTTTGTTCGCTCCACGCAAATTTGGAACAGCAATTTCTATAGAAATTATAGCAAGCCACACGACTATGCTGGTGCCAAAAAGTGTAACTTTAAATCTGACATCTTCTTTGGAATATAACCAAAACTGGAAAAGCAACCCGGCTGACGTTCCGCAGTATATTATAGACGCTATCTTGAAATAAATATTCTTGGAAGAGATTTGGAAAACAAAGAAAGTATGAACTAAGTTTGCAGTGGAGAGTCCTGCAGCCCACAACGAGCTTAGTCCTTTCGTCGACTTTAGATATGAATTTTTGTGCAGCTGTGGAATAAGGGCAAAAACAAAAGCTGTTGCTGACACGTAAAAGCAGAAGGTTGATAGTCCACATATCATGACAGTTAAATCTGACTGGCAATGAAAGGATAATCCAGCCGACACATTTCCATGTGACATTTCGAGGCCTGGCTACTGTTCCTAAAAGCAAGCTTCGCTGAGAGTAGGATGCTTCTGTTGGGCAAATAAAAGCGAAGTTCAAAAATTAATAAGTTGCTTGGAAAAACAAGTCTCTTTCTGCTTGCTTCCATGTTGCATAATCACTTTTCTCCATCTGCAAACTCTGTTGATCTTGATCTCGCAAATCTAACCAAGCATCATCCACAATCGCATCAACAACTTTTGGAATCCCTTTTGTCTTGATCTCGATTTAAATCACCGTTGTAACTATGACCTCTTTTTCAAACAATTTTGATTTGATTTGATTTTGATTTAACTCAAATTCTACTACATTTTTAAAAAAGTTAGATTTTAGTTATATAAATTATGAACAAATCAACTAAAGAACGCAGCAACAACAATAACATTATTTAAAAGACAAATCTAAGCAGAATTCTTAAGAAGGAGCCTTCAAAGTAGGTTATCTAACGAGATGGACTCTTGTTTCAAATTCTTCCCAATTTTTTATTCAAAGGCATTTTATTATCATTATTACTTATTATTATCAATAATGATAAAGTTATTATTATTATTAGTTTATTTAAAGGTTTAATAAGGCTCTCGAATACAAAGTTGTTGAATGTCATCCTGTACGGCCTTGATCAATTATCTCCCGAATCAAATGCGAAAATTCTTAAAGCAACGCAAGCTTGTTTGTTTGAAACCATACAAATAACAAGCTCAGCTTGTCAGAAAACTAAGAAAAAATGGTGTAATACCAACCGCAGCCCTGCTGTACCGGGCGCTGTCCCACAGTCTTGTGCCGAACGAAACCTGGGAGCCAGTATGCTATTGAAGTACTGTACCCGCATTAAAGGGGCGTGTTTCAGCATAGGCATTCTATACTGTTTATTCTCTTTCATACAGAGTGTTATATATGTACACAAACATATCAATATATCTATACATATATATACACATCTGTATGATATAATTTGTGATTATGAGTCCTTGCTAGCTCCTCAGCTAATCCACCAGGCAGAGCATTTCGGGGCTTATGATCAGTATGCTCTTTTACACCTGGGTGCCCCCTCACCCCTGCGTCCAGGGATGATGCCAGCAAAGGTGTGTTAATATGTTGTAGCAGTGTATATAAAATATGTATATTGTAGCCATAGAGGCATGTATCATCCTTTGAATGTAGAAGTATGTTGCATATATAGACAAATGGTTATAAAATTGGGATATCTTGTTTATGCAGATAAATCGCGAATAGAAAAAGCATTGGAGTCTGGTGTGACATAATAGTAATGTTGATGGTGTGGTATCGAGGTATCTTACAATGTCATATGATGCTCAAAATTTAGTATGAGTTAACCAATCTCCAAGGTTGTTGTGCCTTTGTAAGGCGAGAATGGGGGTTTTTGACCATATGTTTTGTAATTCTTTATCCTTTGTTATAATAT